CTTACCCTACTCTTTCCCCATCCACATGCCTTCTCTCTCAAAACTCGATAGTTGATTTTATTTACAAACACTACCCAAAGCCCCTTTTCAAGACCATTTTTAATGTCTTCCACTTCTGCCTCAAATCTTCTTTCCTGCTCAGGTATGCCTAAACAAACATTTCATTTTCTTCAGAACAATTACTCGTGGCTTTGCTGTGTACCGCTGGGACCTCCCGTCTGCTGCTTCCAAGCACCCTCCACCCTTTGCTACAGAATTCTCCTCTTACAAAGTTCTCCTTTTTCCCCATCACTGGCTTCTCCAAGGAGTATTATCTGCCCTTCCTGTGGGATCAGGACATCACACCTGACATCACTTCCCTAAACTTTTACTGAATTTCATTGGTTCTCACGGCTCCAAGTGCCACCAGCGTGTCAGTGATCCTTACACCCAACTGCACACTCCTGAACCATTTCATTCAATTCCAGTTCTACCTGCAGTTACTGTCTCCACCAAAGATTTAAATCTGGTTAAACTGGAGCTTGTTTCCTCTCAATTCCTACTTCCTCTAACTACCTCCAGCCTTCCTACAGTCCAATTCCATAAACTAACCTCTGATTCTTACAATGCCTTATGCACCAAATTGCTGGGATTTCTTTGCATGTCAAGAGTACTCCTTACCCAGTCCTGATCTTTCTCTTGACCAGATCATTTGCTTATGTCCTCATTAGCAAATTCTTCTGCTCACACTGTCACTTCTCTACCCTCCACTTCATATTATATTTCAGCTGCTAAAAATCCTTCCTTTACGCAGTACTTTGGAGACTCTGGATCTTCCAGTATTTCCACAGCCAGCAAGCCTATGAGCTCTAGACTGTACAGCTGCAGGACCTGAACTTCATTACTGGAAAGGAGAAGGAGGATAATCTTCAGACAACAAGGTAACCAGCTCTTGTGCTTCCTCTGCATCTCATACATCAGTACTGAGGGTACTGAAAACACACTGGAGGTTGGGCTGGGGCTGAATACTATCATCTCAACACCCACCCACCCACTCTCAATCCCCCACCAAATCACCCACACAAACATATTATGGTCATTCTAGCTTCTAATCTTACAGATTTAAGAGAAAGCACCTGTAACTTGGAGTTTATTATAATGCAGACTGCATAAAACTGAACTTGACAGCAGGCAGGGGAGGGAGAACCAGAGCCAGCCTTGTGAAATCCTGTTTGTGCGTGAAAGCCGGGAACTTGATGTTCTCACTACAGACTAAGAGCAATAAAAACAGCTTTTGGAGGCATTAATTTCTGCACAGCTGATTTCTACTAAACAATGCTCATTATTGAAGGAATTCTAAAAAAACGCAGGGCTGTTCCAGTGGGAAGGCAGGCACTTTGAATATCTAGACTGAGCTAACAGTGACATCACTGCTACCACCGCTTTAATCCCTACGGCTACTAAATGTCAAATATTTTCATTGTGTTTAAAGGGCTTGTGATTGCACACAACACGATCAAGTTACTCAGTGTTTAAACGAGACAACTGCAAGGCACAGCGAGCATCCACACTCTTGTCACCCAAGACTGCCATAATGGCAAATTGTTGAGTAACATCAGTCAGACTGCCACGCTTTTTCCCCACAGCTGAAATGTAGTGGTTTTAGGATTTAAAATTTTTAAGCACTGTGAAAACCCCCATCTTCACACCTTCATAACCCAGTAAAGTCTACAAATACGTGCAGAGCTGCCTCGCTCAAATCCGAACTTATGAATAGGTTGTAGCATTGAGTCAAGTACATTTGGGGTGGTGGGAGGGGGAAGAAACTGAAGAGTGGCACTGCATCAACAGCCACAAAGTCCAGTGGAAACCACACAGCAGGCCATATATTTCTTATCGTTTAATGTTACATAGGTGTCTTTCATCAATCTCATCTACTTTAAAGAAGGAGAAGCATCAAACTATAGTCAGCAAGTAGAAGGAACTGTCTTAACATACAATATAAACTTTACTGTGGCAAACTAAAGGAGGATATACTTTCTAAACACAACTTAGTGTTTTCATTATTTGTTTGGCAACCAATTACTATGGCAGTAGATGGGCTGCTACACGTGCCTCTAAAATAAATATCTAGTTATTATTTTATCCTGCCAAGTTCTAAGTGGCACACAGAACTACTATGAGCTAGGACACTGCTGTAAAGAAAGTGCAAGAAAACAGATCAATCTTCACATTGTCTAAGTGAGAAATTACTAAAAATTAATACAAAAGAAAAAAATTCAGTGATCTTACTTATTCCTTGTTATTTGCAGGCAGGTAAAGTGATAATAAAATTGTTAGAAAAGATATAAATACTAGAAGTCCCACACCAGAGAAAACTCTGAATTTCAAGAATGAGGCCAAGAGTAGAGTAGGATATTGAAAAACTAATGATTCTGAGTATTTATATATGTATACAGAAGTGTGAGCTCATACAGTTCAAGAGTACATCAATCAACTTTGTGTCTTTAAGATCTTCCCACACTCACTCATTAACTAAGCAGCTTTGTCTTAACTGTGTCTTATCAGCAAAGCACCGATTCACAGCTCGCCACAGTAAGATTTTTATTTCTAAAGTTAGCATCAACTTTTATTTGGATACCACACCTGGTGAGTGCCTTTTGTACTCTGAATACATGCTGGCAATTTACTGTAATGACCGGTTTGTACCCAAGCAACAACAGTTCCCCATTACAGAATAAGAAAGTTCAAGAGCTTTTAACCTTAGAATGTTAAAATATTTCAAACACCTCTCTAAAGAAAGATGGGGGGCGCATGAAGTGCAGGAATTATCTCTACACACACCTACATAAATATGTGTATGTACACATACATCCATCGGTTCAATAACAAACGTGGAATTACAATAGACTAGTTAACTTGGTTACCCACACTAGAAGTGACCTGATTATTTATCTAAGTCAGAGTGCTAATCTTTTGTTGGGGGTGGGTAAGGTCTGTTAAAAAAAGTGAGAGAAACCACTTTACTAAGGGAAAAAAGGCCATCAATACTCAGTTTTAACCTGAAGTGGGAGTATATCATTCCTGAGATTCTTCCACACTAATTAAAACTCAAAACATGTGAGTTTGTTAATCCAGAGTAAAGTTGTGAAAAGCAGAATTGGCAAGGCTGACTCATTACAAGAGTTTACAAATAAAATAATCAAGCCAGAAATTAAACTCCACATAAACCTTAAGTGCACCATTTTTAAACTATTAAACCCACTAATAGACCCATTTACAGCTCTTACACTAGCTATACACTGTCTTAGGAAAAGCTAACCAGCACTATTACTTCAAAAGCCCGAGAAGTGAGAATTTATTGCAGTAGATGCCCTTCCTCTAGAAGAAAATATAAACCAAGTTCAGCGTCATCTCAAAACAACCTTAATTAAGAACAAAAGTAGTTTTCTAACATTCAATCACAGGATAACAAATGGAATTAATTACCAAAGCAAACTATTTCTTCAAGGAACAGAGCTACACAGATCAACTGCTTAGACTTCAATAACCAGTTCATGCTGAGACAATACACTTTTACTTAAACAATCTGAATTTATTAGGCATAAAAATCAAAACAGTAGCAAGCCATCACAACAATAAGGAAATTAAAGAAAAACAAACCATTTTTAGCTTACCTGAACTTGTTCTGTGGAGCTACTACTGAGTTCATCTCCAGATTCCGAATCTTGGTGAATTTTTTCTGAGCCTTCCCCTGCTGAATCACAAGAATGTTCATGCAAAAAGCTGGTCTTCTCTATTTCCAAGAACTCTGGACATGGGAAATGACCCATTGAGATGGTTCTGTACTGGCTGGAAACCTTGGGAGATTGCAATTCATTATTCAGTTTTCCATTGTTTTGGGTAAGGTCCAGGTTCAAAGCAAGAGTTTGACCAGGGCTATTGTTCAGTCCCAGATTTTGATTGGCATCTCGAACTAAGCAAGACACTTGAACTGGAGAAGATTTTCCAAAACTAGAGAGCTCTGGTGACTTATTCACATTTTCTGTTGATCTCTGTAATCCATGTGTCAACTTCAAAGCATTATTTGGCAGCACGCTTGCCTGCTTCACAGGTGGCATCAGGGCTTTTCGTGGTATTTCCTTCACGTACTGTGCTGGCACATAAAAGGGCTTGGAATTTTCGTCTCTCTTGACTTGCCACCAATCATCATTAGTCTTTTTCACTAATATGTATTTCTCCCCTTGCTTAATCACAATTTTCTTGTCCTTGGCCTCATACTCATAGTCGTACTCCACTTCAATGTACAATTGTCCCGGAAGGATCTTCCCACCTTTATCAGCCATTTCTACTTGAAAAAAATTCACCTTTTCAGGCAAAGGGTAAGCCACATTCTGTTTCTGAAGTGTTATTTTCCTGTTAATAATCAGAGCTGCAAGGGGGGGGAAAAAAAAAAAGTAATTGTCTAAGAGCACTTCAGAAGAAAGTGATTTCAGAAATAACCCTGCCTATTCAATTCATGTCAACCTCAGACTAATTGATTGATGGAAAAATACAGATTTTCAGATACCTTTCTCTGTGATAAAACAGAAAGTCACTAGCACAACTTAGTCACCAAATTAACTCCCTTATTCACACAAGCCTCCTGCTACCAAGTGGCTCATTAAGCCTGTTGTTTCTATTACTAAATAATGTTGATTGATCACTGGGGGTTTGGTGGGGGGACTAGTCTGAGTCAATCTCTTGCGCACACAGAGGCTTCACTTCTTACTTCTTTAAGTTGCCAGCATAACTGCAACAGTGAATTTCATCTATAACCATGATTAAATCAAAGTATTTAACGTTTCCAAGATACTTTGGTTTCAGTGGTTTAAATTCTGCATATTTACTTTGCTCTTAAGTTTTTTTTGTGGTATTTACCTTACAGAAAACTTGATCTAACCGAGAGTTTAGGGGCTAAAACAGAACACACAAACAAGAGCCACAACAATAATGAAACAGGATTAAGAACCAAAACCGAGTAATAAATGAAAGGCCAATACATGAAAATTTCAAGAAGGACTTTTATCACTTTACAATCCAGCCAACCACCACTGTACCCGCACCCATGAGCCACAAGTTCTCTATTTCATCATGCAGCATCAATGTCACAGTTGATGAGTGGATAAGCATCAGTCTTGCCAACTTACACTGAACACACAGAGTAACTTAACATGAAAGATACGATTCCTCGAAAATCAAAGCATGCAAGTCAAGGGGAAGCTCTGTAGCATGCAAATAGAATGTAGGAGAGTTCAAAAAAAATGCTGCCCCGTTTAATCTTAGAAAGATTAAAAGAGATTTTTGTTAAAAATGCATGTTTCACGAATGAAAAAAAATATGCAGAAGCTTGCAGCTCTGCAAGTTAGGACTTCGTGATGAGATTTGTAGCGTCTACCCTGCCACAGAGTGGAACTAATGCAATTCCATGCAGGCACACACACGCAGAGCGAACTCGGCTACCCTAAACGGGACTAAGGACAGAAACAACAAGAAGAGAGGACTTCTGGGAAGAGCTGAAGCAGAAACCTCTAAGAGTTCAAGTTTTCTTTCACCATTTCTGCTATTTGCTCTGAACCTTGAAAAAACAACACATTTCCCACCTAACTCGGTAGAAAAAGCAGCAGCTAAAAAGCTGACGTGTGATGCCAAGACAGAAGTACCCCCTTTCAACTGTCTTCCTCTCCCACAGTCCATCACCTTTTGCTTCCAGGAAGCGTTTCTTACAGGTAACTTGAAAGCTGCCAGGGTTTACAAGGCTCCGATTGGAATCACAAGGTCAGACTTACAATTTTATCGAGGACTTAACAGAAGGAAGGATGGTACCGCATCCGAAGCAGCTGACAGCAGGAACACAAAGCAGTAGAAAGGAATGCTAGGATTGTGGTGTTTACTCACTCTGCCATGAAATGGTACATTTAAATCCACAGCATTACGGTCTATTTACAGCCTGGTTCACAACAACTTGCCTACCTGCTGTCCTACATAAATAGGTATTTTTAAGTACAGCTCTGCAGTTGTTTGGCTACTGTAGCAGAGGGTAAACACGCACAAATCCCAGCCGTTCCCACACTCCTACTTTTGGAAGCTCGGGTTACTTTCTCCTTGTTACTAAACCTGACTCCTCCCAACACTTCAAAGCTGCCATCAGCCCCTTCCACGGCTCCAAGGTCACACACCAGCCAAGCGCAAGCCTTGCAAAGGTACAGCCTACCTCTGAGGTCTGCTACCTTGGAAGAGGAAAAGTAGGACACGGATCCACTCGCACTGCTTTTCTTTCTCCCACACGGAAACCAAAAAGAGAACGCAAGTCTGTGGTTTCCCACAGGGCTACCAAGTGCTTAAAAGCTCGGATTTTTCATTTCTCTTTTGCCAGTTCCATAGAGCTATTTACTGAGAATGCATGCTTAGCATTTTTTTCAACATATATAGGTTCGAAAAGCTGCATTTCATGCTTAGAAAAAAATAAACCCACACAGAATTTTGAGAAATGCAAGTTAAATAAAATACAGTAGCTACAAAAATAGCTCCATCCACTTTCAAAGTCAGTTTTGCAGCCTCATCTCTTTCCAAGAAGGAAAAAAAGAAAACCAACACCCAAAACCAAAACAAACAACAGAAATAAGCAGCACATTTTTTTGTTCTTTCATCCAAGCTGAAAAATTATCAAGTCAATAGCAAACATTTAGTAATGTTGAACAGAGGATCAAAAAGAGACAGGCTGTGTTCTGCGTTTGGCCAGAACACTCACATAGTTGTATAAACAGATCACATCATCAGGATCAAGCAAGGCCTCAATCTCCACTTCAGAGAGAGGCGAGAGGTACCTATGGCACAGGTGGGAAATCTTTCTCGCTAAGTTTAATAAATATCATCATTAACTCTGTGGGTCGGCAAACAACTGCCACGGCCTCAATTTCACAGATCCAAACGCACTCAGTTTGATTTTGTTTGAATTTCTTCTAACGTGGCTGTCGCGCCGCAGGAGGTAGACTGCACGTACCCCGAGCCCAGCCCAGGCAACAGCTAATTGTAATGTCCACGGGTCCCTGTACCTGTCAGGTAGAACGTGGGCTAAAGAGCCACAGAAGCCTTGGCCAAACCTGTGCTGTAAGGGGCTTAGAATAATTCAGATGTAAATTGACATTTGGAGTGCTGACGCTACTAGTCAACAACTGAAGGGATACAGGGGGTCAGACCTTGTGACCTCACCATATTTTTTGTTTTTCTTTAAAGATACATCACCTGAACTGCTGAATGACACCCACTTTGGTAAAAAAGGTTGAAGAACCATCTAGAGGATGACAAGAATGAAAAATTTTTACTTCCACAGAGGACATCTGTCAGCATTAATACCTTAAATAAAATCTCAATACCTGATTATGAGATTAACAGCAACACATGGTCCCACTGACCACAAAGACCTAAGAAAACTTATTTGTGAATGCCAAAAATCAGACCAGGTCACACTTCTGGTGAAGAAAAACCCAATTGCTACAGGGTAACTAATTTAAGGTGGGCCACATCCCCACATGGAAACCCTTTCACGGGTCATTCATGCTGTCCCAAGAGACAGGACATCTGTGGTTACGCAGAGAGCCCTGGCTGCAGCAGCCCAGCACCCTCCATGCTCCGGAAGCAAGCAGTGAGAGGATCACTCACGCAGTGCCCACATGTAGACCTTTTCAGGCTCCGATTTCCAATGGGAACGGCCTAAGGCTGTATAAGGCTGGCAAGCCTTGGTGTTTGCAGAGGTCAGCTGGGGGGTGGGAGGGTGCAAACGGAGCACCAAAGCTGTTGCACACTAACATTTACCTCCAGCTAATTTACGTACGTCAACACAAACCAAGGCTTTTTCTCATCAGGCCCAAGTACCCGCAGTGACAGCTTCTGACACCCTTAGAGAGGCTGGGTCAGGGGTGCCTTGGGTTTGCTCGGAGACTGGTCTTTCCCAGGGCCACTTAAACCCTACAGCAACACTGCCACCTCCTCACAGCATCAGTCCTAACCACAGGACCATGCTAAGTCAATCCTGAAGCACATGCAAATGGTCTTGAAAGAAACACGGTCCGAACACACACACACAGGTATAACACATGTATATACCAGTGAAGCACTGGAACAGACTGCCCAGAGATGTTGTAGATACCCCATCCCTGGATGTCTTCAAGGCCAGGCCGGATGAGGCTTTGAGCAACCTGGTCTAGTGGAAGGTGTCCCTGCCCATGGCAGGGGGGTTGGAACTAGATCATCTTTAAGGTCCCTTCCAACCCAAACCATTCTGTGATTGTATGATATGATCATGTACGATACACTCAGTCCTAACTTCAGCACTGTCCCAAACTCAAGCCCAAAATATGGGTGTTCCATAACTGTCTTAAAATTATCAGGCACAGATTCTTCACAATCACAGAATGGTTTGGGTTGGAAGGGACCTTAAAGCCCATCTAGTTCCAACGCCCCTGCCATGGGCAGGGACACTCTCCACTAGACCAGGTTGCTCAAAGCCTCATCCAGCCTGGCCTTGAACGCTTCCAGGGATAGGGCATCCTCAACTTCAATTCTTCTGATCTTCTACAGCCAGGTAATTGAGCCTTGAGATAGCAAAAAAAAGTCTTTGTTGTATTTCTTGTATTTCCCTCTCAGGGGAAAAAAGCCTTACCATGGCTATGGAATCATTACTTACTTTATAATACAAACAGATGGTAAGTTATTAAAAAAGCTGCTGAGAATATTAACTGATCACCTTAAAAATTCTTCATGTGACCTTGTTCACGGTGTCCTACAAAGCAGCACCAGTGGACTTGTGTAATCTTTTTCCATTTTCAGCATCGAACTTCACCCACTACTGAAGTGAACCCTTCCGCAGTGCTGATACAGAAATAAACTCAATTACTGATGCTAAATTAGGATAAATTCTTACCAGTTCAGGCCAGATGAGATACCCTGGCTACAGCTCACAGGATTCTATGATTCTGCTTCTCCCTGGGCTGTTTTCTTAGGGGTACAAGCCGCACCGCATAACCACTGCTTGGGAGACTGGTCCCACAATAACCCTGTCGGAGTTCAGCCCTATGCACAGCTTTCTTCCCAAGGAGCACCACTCTTTACCCACCTCGACTAACTCCTCAGATGGCATTTTCATGCTGAAAACCACCATCTGCAAAGTGCGCATCTCGAGCACACAAGAGTTGTATAAAAGTCGAGGCAAAGACGCAAACAAATATAGACAAAAGATAGTCAACTTACGAGTTTTATGCAAACGAGCTTAGTTCGCTACTGTTTCCTCAGGGATTACTAGGGCAGG